CCTCTCTCTTTCTCTGTCACTCCCTTGCATCGTCCCTCCCTCTGAGTTAATGGGGTCATGTGGATTGGCAAGATTGCTCCTTTCTGGATCTGTGTGGAATATGAAGGAGACTGAGACAGACGTGCACATACAGACGGGTCTTGTTAGCTACCCTCACATTCTCTGGCAAAGCTAGTTTGTTCCTGTTTTATAATGAGGAGATGGGGACTTTTGAAGCTATGCCAATACACCACCAAAGGAATACTGGAACACACGCAATACACATGTACACACACCAATCTGGTGTCCGTTGTATTCGATTCCCTCACATCTAAAAGGAAAGGCTACGTCTACTTTGGCACCGACTTTATGAAGATTAAACCACTAAGATCTCATTTAGCGAACTCCTAAAAACAGCTTAACAGTGTTTGGCACATGGTTTGGTTTTTACCAGGCTGCGTGAGTTACAGCTTTTTAGATTAAGCTCAGCCACCCTGTGAAGTCTGAGGAGGCCATCGCTGCTTCGTTCTCACCATTTGTTTAATGCAAAACAGCAAAGAAAAAGAGCTTTGTTGAGCGACTAGGGCTCCATAATGCAAGGACCAGAAAGTTACAATAAGGCAACATTCAGATATCCGAACAATATTGAAGCTGTCAACAATCAACATGCCGTGTTTCGCTGAACGTTTCAATAGTCAAGAATCAATAGTGCTGGATCATCCTTCTCTTCACTTTCGTCAGTGCACTTAAATGAACCCCCAGAGGACTGGTGCATCGGCACTGGCCCGCCAGTGACCTGACAACAATCGGGCATCGAAATACTGTCTAGTACTAGTATCGACTTTGTATGTTGCGTCCCCTCTTAATCTCCAACCCCTTATATTCTGTGTTTTTAGGCCGCCTTGTTTCTAGGTCAACTTTCTGTAATCAGTTTTGCACCTCTTGCCGTCCCCACATTCAATGTCCTTGAATTATATTTATAATTTTATGTCATATTTCTTTGACATAGCGGTTGAGGTACCCACCTCCAACTATTCTAGCTCTCTGTCCTCCTTCCCATTGACTTTCTCATCTCCCTCCCTTTATCCCCTCCCCCTTCCATCCCTCTCTCCCTCTCTTCTTTTGAAAGAGCTGGCTTCAGCAGTCTGCCTGAAACAAGCTACGCATGCCCACACGTACACTGGCTGCTGCGGCCCCCCGTCCGCGCTAATCACAGGGTGTGTGTGTGTGTGTGTGTGTGTTTGCGCCTGACGTGTGCGTGCGTGTGTGTTCCTGGCCGCGGTACAGCAGAAAGGATATGTAGCTTCCTATGCGCTGCCAGGCAGCCCGAGCTCATTCTGCCGCATGCCGCTCGCCGCCACCATTACGCAGAGGAATTCCCTGCCGTCTCCGCGGCTGCCGCTGCTGCTCGGGGGGGAGCGCGAGTGCTGGATGGCGAGAGAGAAGGAGAGGAGACCTGCTGCAAAGCAACACTGACAGATAGAGGACGCGGCTGGCTTTCACATTGGATTTTACATGAAGATGTGCAGCGTTCCTTCACGGGGAAATCGACTCTGTTCATGGGATTTATTGCTGACTTTTGTCCCCGTCCCAAATTGCGCATGTATGTAAGGGGGAACACTGTGTATTTATGTGTGAGAGCGTGTGAGTGAGAGTGCGCGTCTGTGTGTGTGTGTGTGAGAGAGGGCTCCTGATGCGGTCAGAACGGGCAAGTCGTGTGTGTATCGTGGTGCTGGAGGAGGTGGAGGAAGATGAGCCCTCTTCTTCGCCCTTGCCTTTGCCAAGCCAAACAATCCCCTGATTCTTGATGCTATTTTTTTCCTTTTTATCTGCTGATTATAAAGACGATAAGGTGAAAAGGAATGCCACCACTTAGCCTCCCGGAATCACAGAACAATCACCGTCGGAGTTTTTCGTGAGTTCGTGAGTTTTCTGTTGAGAACGGCAGCAAAGTCCCACCTGACGTTGAAGGTCAAGTTGTGGGTTTCCACTTTGTATGCGTGGAAACACAATGCCGCTTGTCGTCCTGTGCTAAATAAAGCACCAACTACAATCACCAATATAGCCTGCCACGTGAGATGACGAGTGGTTTGTTTGGATGAGATCAGTGAGGACCTGGCCTTTTGTAGTCTGCGGCGTTGACCGTAATAAAGGACAAGCCTACAATCGAAACCTGGTACAGAGTCTTTTCATCCCATGAACGGTGCTCTTTGAAGTTTACGCTGAGATGAGGGAAAGCCAGGCAGGACGCGGCCGCTAACATCACAGGGTTTGCCCGCTTAATCTTTGTCCACCTTCTCCGATGCGGGACGTGTTTGCGGTAACAGGCGCGAAGCCGACATGACTGACAAAGCGCGACTTATTTTTAGTTGGGATCGAATGGGAGAGAGAGAGAGATGTGGAAAACTGAGAGGCTGAAGAGCAGGTCAACATCCGCCTGATACTCACGTAGTACTAAACGCCTCTACTTAGCAACCCTGACTGGAGGAAAGGGTGAATGTGTGACACTTTAATTAAAACGTTTCAGCAAAATCAGTTGCATGTCCTACTTATACTCCTAATTACTTATCCAAAGATATTGAAACAAGGAAACTGTTGTTATTATCCGATAATAAAAGTAAACCGGCAGCAGTGTCATTATAAAGTGTCTTTGTCTTAGTGACACACAGAAACTAGCAAGTTATTGTTGTGTGGTTTATTGTCCAGCAATATATTGTAATTGCATATAGAAGCTGTGACAAAATGTTGTCTGTACGTTTACAGACTGTCCCGTAAAGTAGTACAGTAGTAAAGCTTTTTTAAGATGAAGGAAAAATGCAAATGTGGGCCAAAAATGTTCTTTTGTAAATGATTTTTAACATCAAAGTTTCCCAAGTTAAAATGAACGTCACAATCAAGGGTTTGATCTCAGATTTGAAACTGTGAGCTTAAACTAGTGTTCCCTCGAACTTTCATTGGAATGGATGCGTGCTCTTCTGTTGCCCAGCCCAGTACCTCTTTGAACGTTATCAAACCCGCTGAGCAAAAATGTATACAAAATCTAACTCCTTATGCTCTCGTGGCGCAGATCACAGAAAGAGTTTATTTCTGTCATGGAAAACGTGCATCTCGTCTTTTGCACAAATTGTCCCACTTGTCTTTTACACTGCTATTCATGGGCTGACCTCGCAGCACGTGTGGTAACATATTTATTTACAGTCATAAAATAATTGGTGATGCAAAGCTGTTTGTGAGCTGTGGCTCTCTCCCTGCTCAGTACTGTAGTGTCTTTTGACATTTGCAACTCCCGCTGATAACGCAGTTGTCGGCACAGAGAGCTTCTGGCCCTGCAAATGGAGTTTGTATCGGTGTCCATCAGCATTCCTTCGTCTCTCCTTGTCCCTGCAGCCGTCTCTGTTAAGAGCCATCTTCAACGTCGACCCGGATGAAGTTCGCTCTCTCATATTCAAGAAAGAGGATGTCAACGTTCAGGTTGGTCACTCTCTTGCTATTTTCTCTCCCATTGTAGAAGCCTTTTTGTTGCGACCCCAGCCTTGTTTATTTGCTTCACACCCCCCGGAGGACACACAAACAGACCATGATGGATAGAAAAACAAGCAAGGGCAGCAGCAGTAAGCCAGCAGGTCACAATTGATCGATTGGCGATGAACTGTTCTGACCATTTGAGGACATGATTGTCTACTGAAGTCTTCCTCTGTTTACACCACATTCTTTTCTCACAGTTTTTCCGTCCGTCCCTCTGTGGGTCTATAGTGCTGGTTTCATCTCACCGAGTGTCTTGAGTCAGCAACACTGGCCCCAACCTATTGCAGTCACATGACCTCTCTTTGAAGCCCCAGTTTGTTTCTCGCTACTGCATTGAAAGAGCAGATGGTGTAGCTGCAGCAGGGTGTGAGGAGGTGATGGAGCAAAGTGCAGAATTCCAGTGAACACATGATGGACACTTTTCTCCCTGTGGCTGCACTCTCATGTTTCCTGTATATGGATTACGTTTGGGGAATGCGTGCATGCCTTCAGCCCATCATGATGTGTGTGTGTGTGTGTGTGTGTGTGTGTGTGTGTGTGTGTGTGTGTGTGTGTGTGTGTGTGTGTGTGTGTGTGTGTGTGTGTGTGTGTGTGTGTGTGTGTGTGTGTGTGTGTGAAAAGGAGATCTGGTGCGCATGCTTAAATGAGTCCTTTTCTGTATTTTGGGATCACTTGTCAAGGACAATGAGAAGAGGACGCCTTTGCATGCTGCAGCCTACCTGGGCGACGCTGAGATCATCGAACTGCTCATCCTCTCCGGTAAACACTACGGCCCTTGGAGTAATTACAATTGTTGTCAATTGGTTGGATGTGTGTATATATATAAGTGACCTTTGCCTTGCTTATTTTAGGTTTTCTACCACGTCAGGCTAAATTGGAAGAAAAAAATGTGATGACTGTTTCATTTTGTTTGTTTGAAGAAACACAAAATTTGAGTCATTATACCAAACCCCCCCCCAAAAGACTAAAGTAATCCCCCCCCCAGTTGTAGTTCCCTGTTCCCTCACCCGTGTGTCTGCTCACAGCTCTGTGGCTGTCACCTTCTCCTGGTGATTTTATGAGTTATCAATCTGATAAGGTCGGTTTAACTGTCTGTGAAGTTAACTGAGCATTTTAGAAGGTGGTTCCAGCCCTTATAGAAGCGTAGTATGGAAGTCTGCGTGTGTGTTTGTGTTTCCTGTTTTGCAGTAATGTGGCAACAGGTGCAGCTTCAGGGCTATTTTAACCCCTTTCTGTGCCACAGAGCAACACAGCAGTTTGAAATCTTCCAGGCCCAAGGGAATCTCTTCCTGTAAGGGAAAGTGGGAAAAGCCTCTTAAACTCCTCGTGTCTCTTGAGCCTTTAATGTCTCTTTCAGTAATTTCCATTCATTTGCCTCTGCTGTTGTTGACGTACCAGATTTCTCTCCCCCGCTCACTCTCTCCTTCTCTCTTCCAAGGAGGCAGAGTTAATGCCAAAGATAACAAGTGGTTGACTCCTCTTCACCGAGCTGTCGCCTCTTGCAGTGAGGTAACACATTATTACACAAACACGTGCAAATGTGTACTGTCATGCCTCCCATAAGTACGTGACTAACCGCATCCCTCAGTAGCTATAAAACCCAACAACCGGTTCTGCAAAACGTACCGACAGCCTTTTAAAACATTGACCAGCCCCTGTTTGAAAACATGTGTCCAACCTTAATCTGGTGTCTTTCCCACTGTCCTTAACACAGAAACACAGAAATGTAGCCTTCTTTCATATCAGTGAGCATACGAGGGTTGGTGCTCCACGCTGAGTACTAACCACTAAGGCTGGAATGAAAATACAGAAAACACTGATCAGTGCAGCAAAACACAGTCCAGATAGAATATGTGGTAGCCACCTTACAGCCTGAGATGCAAAGAATTATTGCTGCTTTACACATTTGTAGAATCTGGCCTTAAAGGGGTGACATTACACCGCACTCTGTGTTGGTATTTAATAAAAATCGATCTACCTATTCTGCTTGGTCCCGGGCACCATGCCTACGCTCACACAGCCCCCCGCATTTGTTTTCCTTTTGGGGGCTATTATTGGCACGTAAGCCCCTAAGAATAGCAAATACTTTATAACCACCCACACATCGGCATGTACTATGTTAGTACACTGAGGCGTTTACACCTCCGTTTGCACACTCCTGTCCCCAGGACGCTGTGGCGGTGTTGCTGAAGCACAGTGCGGATGTCAACGCCCGGGACAAGAACTGGCAGACGCCGCTCCACGTGGCAGCGAGCAACAAGGCGGTGCGTTGCGCCGAGGCTCTGGTCCCGCTGCTCAGCAACGTCAACGTGTCGGACCGGGCGGGTCGCACCGCCCTGCACCACGCCGCCTTCAGCGGACACGTAGAGGTGAGTCTCCCGTGGACAGGCGCAGAGGCGCACGCGCGCCGTGTCGGCATCCAGTCAATTTGCCTGTGTGCGATAGATGGTAAAGCTGCTGCTGTCCAGAGGAGCCAACATCAACGCATTCGACAAGAAGGACAGGAGAGCCGTCCACTGGGCCGCCTACATGGGTGAGCCTTATTCATTGCACGGTTTTGAATGCAATCATAGTTGTTTTTATTGCTCTCCCTCGTGCTCCTTAGTTGTCCTTTAATTGTAGATGTCTTGACTCGCTCGTCTGCCCACCTCGTCCGTTTCAGGTCACCTGGAGGTGGTGAGGTTATTAGTGGCCGGTGGAGCAGAGGTTGACTGTAAGGACAAAAAAGCGTACACACCACTGCACGCAGCCGCCTCCAGTGGCATGAGCAGCACCGTGCACTACCTGCTCGGCCTGGGGGTCCACGTCAGTACACACAAGCAGTCTATAATGTGCAGAACCCTTTGACCCAGCTAGTTCTTTAAAGTTCAGTTAAAATGAAACTTCTTCTCATCCTGCGTAGGTCAACGAGGTGAACGGCTATGGCAACACTCCGCTGCATTTGGCCTGCTACAATGGGCAGGACGTGGTGGTCAGTGAGCTCCTCAAGGCAGGGGCCAACGTCAACCAGGTGTGTGTGGATGTGTACTTTGTGTTACCGTGTGCGCTGTAGTATGTGGTTGTGTGTGTTGGGGTTTGATTTCTTTTTTTGGTTTCGTACCTTGCTTCAGGTGAACGAGAGGGGGTTTTCTGCTCTCCACTTTGCCTCCTCCTCACGCCAGGGGGCGCTGTGCCAGGAGCTGCTGCTGGCCCACGGCGCTCACATCAACATGCAGGTGTGTCCATATGAAGATACACTTTCACACAAACACTAAAGCATTCATATTTAGCGGATATAAAGGGCATATTTCAGTGGATACATCATCTTGGAGGCTGGTATATTATCCAAAGAGCAGCGATTAAAAGCCCAGTATCTAGTACTTTGAAAATCAAGTTGAAATGAAACTATTATTTAGGCTTTGGTGGCAGTGATGGAAACTGATTTTAGGTCGCCACAGGCTCAAGATGTAAGGCCATATGGAAGATGGTGGGGGAGGAGGGTGGCGCCCTGGGGCTGCAAGCTGCTCATAGAATATATCTCGGTTTGTGTGGTCCATAAGGGGGTGTGAGATAGCTTCTGTTCCTGCTACGCTTTCGTCAGTAATTATTAGACTAATTGAGGCTAGATGTAAATGTACATGCACTGGTAAACTATATGGCTAAACTTCACAATCATATTGGTGGTCTGTCCCTCCCTCTATCTGCCCAGAGTAAGGATGGTAAAACCTCCCTCCACATGGCAGCTACCCATGGAAGGTTCTCCTGCTCTCAGGCCCTCATTCAAAACGGTGAGTTTCTGCAATGTATCGGTCTACTTCACACATGCAATACATACGTAATAATACCCTTTTTGTTTTATGTGTGCGTAGCAGCGGAAATTGATTGTGAGGACAAGAGCCGAAACACTGCCCTCCACATCTCTGCCCGCTACGGCCACGAGCTCATCATCACAGCACTCATCAAACAGGGAGCCGACACGGCCAAGTTAGCAGCAATCAATATTTAACCATCTGTTTTTTTCTGTCATCGTAAATGGACCCATTCTCTCAGTCCTTACCCTCCCGTGATGGCCTGCCTTCTTTGCCTCAATGTTATTTTCAGGAGAGGCGTTCATGGGATGTTTCCTCTACACCTGGCAGCTCTTAGCGGCTTCTCGGATTGCTGCAGGAAGCTGATGTCCTCAGGTACATTCTTGCTGACACCATTCTTACCCCTGGAATTACATAGTTGACATCCTAATTGATGCTGAGAACATATTTTTCGCAGGGTTTGACATGGACACCCCTGACGACTTTGGAAGGACCTGTCTACATGCTGCTGCAGCTGGAGGGTGAGTCATCATTCCTGCTCGGTGCCTATTGTTTCCTTTCTCCTGAGCCGCTTTAATGCTTTTCTTTCTTCCTTACATGATGGAATTCGCCCTTTGTTTCATTTTTTCCTCCTTCTCTCTTATGCACTGAAATATTATCTTTAGACTTGATCATCCTTATTATCTCTGTTGAATCTGTCCACCCAACCAGGAACCTGGAGTGTCTGAACCTGCTGTTAAACATCGGAGCGGACTTCAATAGAAAAGACAACTTTGGAAGGTGAGCCAAGACTGTAGCTCTATGCTAGGAAGAGAAAAAGCCCATTTTGGGGAGTACGCTATGAAGTCCTCCTGATATTGACCGTGTGACCCGTCCAGGACTCCTCTACACTATGCATCAGCCAACTGCAACTATCACTGTGTGTTCGCCCTGGTGGGCTCTGGGGCGAGCATCAACGAGCGGGACCAGAGAGGCTGCAGCCCCCTGCACTACGCCGCCGCGGCTGACACTGATGGAAAGTACGTTCCCCTCAGTGTTTAACTGGTACCATCTATAGTCAGCTATCAAAGTGCAACAAATAGTCCCCTGCGTCAGATGAAGGCTTGAACAATGCTCTTTTTCAGGTGTGTGGAGTACCTGTTGAGGAACGACGCCGATCCAGGGATGAGAGACAAACAGGGTTACAGCGGCGTGCACTATGCCTCAGCTTATGGACGCACACTCTGCCTGGAACTGGTGTGTACAACTACCACACAGGGTGGCACAATATGTTGCTTTTTGAAGTATTGAACACAATGACACACATCATAGTATCGTAAACAGCCTTTGTCTGTGTTTCTTTCAGATGGCAAGTGAGACACCTCTTGATGTGGTGAGCCCTTGATTGATTAATGTATTTGTCATGTAGCTCCCTCTGTTGGACGAGTGGGAAACAGATAGATCAGAAAAACTCTTCTATCTTGTTAGTAATGTAACACTTTTTAACCCAAAACCCCTCGTCGCACATACCTTTTAACGAAAAACCCAAATCTTTCCTTCAATAAATTTGGACCAATTGCAGCAGTGTGAACGTTGACCTAACTTTGCTATGTCTGCAATTCTGGATTTAAATGAGTAAAGTGGGGGACATCCGTCTTTTTCAGTTGCTGGAGACATCAGGGACAGACATCATGTGTGACTCGGAGAGCCACGCCCCCATCAGTCCACTCCACCTAGCGGTGAGTTTGTCTCTCTCGCATACAGGACTTCACTGTCCCTGCCCTGTCGTCTACCATAAGACATAAGTGTCCATTGGTTTGTGTCTCCTATTGATCTAGGCTTACCACGGACACTGTGGAGCTTTAGAGGTTCTCTTATCGGCCCTGCTGGAAGTGGATGTTTGCAGCCCAGAGGGCCGGACCCCCCTCAGCCTGGCCTGCTCCAAGGGTCACCAGGAGTGTGTGTCTATGCTGCTGCACCATGGCTCCTCCCCCATGACCCGCGACTACACATACAAAAGGACGGCCATACACGCTACAGGTATAAATACAGGACGTTACACATACAAAACCACAACATCCATCATTGTTCTTCTGGTTTATGAAATACAAACATGTTGCTTTTAGAAATAGTCAGGCTCTATTGTGTGTGTGTGTGTGTGTAGCTATGAATGGCCACCCGGAGTGCCTCCGCCTGCTCATGAGCACCAACGACCAACACATTAACGTGGATGTACAAGACACCAATGGACAGTGAGTGTGTACACTAGTTTTTACGCTGCTTTTTGTTTGCTTAATCATATTATTTTAACCGGTCATCGATATGTAAATAAATAAACAGAAGTACTCAGGTCTTATTTCTCCACTGTCTGCAGGACGCCTTTGATGTTGGCAGTGCTGAATGGACACACAGAGTGTGTGTACTCTCTACTCAGTCAAGGAGCCGGTGTGGACTATCAGGACCGCTGGGGGAGGACGGCACTCCACCGAGGGGTGAGACCTTCACATGCACTCAGTTAATATTACAACTTCATATATGTCTTGTTCTTCCACACAGGCGGTGACCGGCCAGGAGGAGAGCGTCGAGGCCCTGCTGCAGCGCGGGGCCAGCGTGTGCGTCAGAGACATCCTGGGCCGCTCCCCTCTACACCTGGCATCCGCCTGCGGCCGCGTGGGCGTCCTGGGGGCCCTTCTGCAGGCTGGCATCAACTCTCTCACGCACCTCACCGACAACCAGGGCTACACACCACTGCACTGGGCCTGCTACTACGGTGGGGGAGGGGTGGGGTGTACAGCGGTTCTGTGTGAGAGCACAGCAGTGTGTCCGTTCCTCCCTTTGTACCGCCATGCTTTCTCTTCTGTTCCTCCCAGGATACGACGCCTGTGTGGAGGTGTTGTTGGATCAAGAGGCGATCAAGAAGATCAAAGGCAACCCGTTCAGCCCTCTGCACTGTGCCGTGTAAGAAAACGCGTGCGCCAATCAATGCGGTTATGTTGACAGACGCCGGTCCGAAGGCGAGTGACAGTGCGTGTTGTGTATTTCAGTATGAGCGACAACGAGGGAGTGGCTGAGATGTTGATCGACGCCCTGGGCACAGCTATCGTCAACGCCACGGACTCCAAGGGCAGGTGAGCGACGACGCAATGATGGCGAGAAGATGTTCGGAGGGAGCACAAGCGCTGCTGGTTATTGTGGCAGCGGTGTTTGTTTCAACACAGGACCCCCCTTCACGCCGCAGCTTTCTCCGACCACGTGGAGTGCGTCTCCCTCCTGCTCAGCCAGGGCGCTCAGGCAAACGTCGTTGACACGCACATATGCAGCACCCCGCTGATGATGGCAGCTCTAAACGGACAGACCAACACAGTGGGTGGGTAGAGCCATCGGACACTCGCATGCACTGTTCACGGCGTCGCATTGCTTGACCTTTGACACGTAACCTTTGCCATTTGTGTTGCAGAGATGTTGGTGAGCAGCGCTAAAGCAGACTTCACAGTACAGGACACAAACAGGAACACGGCACTGCATCTGGCGTGCAGCAAGGTAACCAGTGTCCCCAAAGAGTAGACAAATCCTAACTGGGTCATTAATAATAATAGTTAACATCTGTTAGCTGTGGAACGTCAGTCATACATCCACATAACATACATCCTCAAAATGTCTTCATAAATATTAGAAGGATATGCCATGAGTACAGATGTACAAATAATAAGGTAGTCGTTTCCGTAATGTGCGATGTACTAATCTTCACTGTTCTGTTCCTCTGAGGGTCACGAGACGAGTGCCTTGTTGATTCTGGAGAAGATCAGCAATAAGAACCTCATCAACTGCACCAACACGGCTCTGCAGACGTACGTGCCGTTGCGAACATTTAGCTCCGCGTTCAGACCGGATGTATTTTACAACGTCCCTCGCCCTTTGTTCTCAGGCCCCTGCACGTAGCAGCCAAGAAAGGTTTGACAGTGGTGGTCCAGGAGCTGCTGAGGAAAGGAGCCAGCGTTTTAGCAGTGGACGAGAACGGTCAGTTTTTAAGTTAATTATTATTACAATACGATGATCCTGTGACAGCCAGGACAGACGTGCAACCACTGGGCGGTGATTGTAGTTTTCACTCTCTCGCTCGTCTCTTGTCCTCAGGTTACACTCCGGCTCTGGCCTGCGCTCCCAACCGGGACGTGGCCGACTGTCTTGCGCTCATCCTCAACTCCATGATGCCCACCTCCCCCATGGTCACCATAGCAGCTTTGCCCGCGCACTCTCTAACTCAGACAGTCGTCAACCACCACCCCGTCAACAAGCACGCCTCCAAAGGCGTGGCCTTTGACACCCCGCCCTCTCTGAGGCCCGACCACGCTTCCTACTGCAGACCGGAGAGGCCACCGACATCAATCGTTGGGGATGATGAACTGAATGACTCAGATTCAGAAACATACTGAGGACATAACTGCAATTGGACAGAGCCCCACAATACTGACAAGCTAGCCAGCCACTCAGGAGCCTTAATAGATCATTCAAAAAGAGAGAAAATAGAACAGGTGTGCAGATTATTTTTAGATAAGCTTCTTCAAATCTAAAAATAACCTTTGTTTTAGAACCAGTTTGTTTCCTTAAGCTGCATACCCATTGGGTGATGAATAATGTACTAGATAGATAGAATAAGGTCACACTGTTTATCTCAGACAACATCACTGTATGGTCAGTAACATGGCCAGCGCATTTAATTTTAAAGCAATGTTTTCCTTTTTTTAAACTAAGTACCTACTCTTTGTAGTGGTTTTAAGCCTTTTCACAGTTTTTCCTTTTAACTAACACTAAAAAAGCATCTACTTGACGCTCAGCGGACTTCTTTGTCACTATTGTGTAAAGAAAAGAACCGTGGATAAGGGTATGGGACCAGGAGATTGCTGTTTTCCCTTCACTGATCGCTAATGCTGCATCAGTGTTAGCCACTTTTTAATTCCTTGGAGAGGAAGCCATTATTTAATCCTATGAACTTATTCCAAGTGGAGACCGAACCCACGGGAACCGTTTAGGACAGCAGGTGACTGTCTGATCGGTCCAGGAGTCATTCGATACATGAGCTGCTTAAGGAACTTTTAACTTGCAATGCTGTAACTACTCTGACTGTACTGCACAGAAGACTGGGTGAAAGTGGCTGACACTGTGTGTGACTGAGTGATAAATATCACCTTTTTTAGGAAAAGGCAGCTTGGATGCTACTGGTGATGTTTGTAAAGATTAGGCAATGAACAAATAAAGGTTATGTTTTTAGATTCATAGCCGATTGTATTTGACAGAAGACAAATGTCCAACCCCTAACTTGTCTATAGCAGAAGATTTGTTTTAAAACGATATTTTTCTCCTGGCAGCCCTCTGTTACCAGATCATTCCTGGTCCAGGTGATACATTCGTCCGTACAGACAGGCAGTGACGAGCCCAGCCGTCATCTTTGAGTGTTTCATTGTCACTCTTCCATCGGCAGCTGTTTCCAGATGCTGCGGCTGCTCCAGGACAAGCCTGTTAACCAACACCGATGGGTACACGTATCTGGTCCCAAACCGTCCCTCTAACAGGAAGTCCAGTTTGGACTCTGCCTCTTCCACCTCCTGTCCACAGGAAGTGACCTCCAACCCTGCACAGCGGACAAGTGCGCACACCTGCAACAGACATATGATGAATGGAACAAGAGCATAACGACTCAGTGCTAGATTCTCCCCCCCTCTCTTGACTCGTCCTCACCTGCAAGGCGTAACGTCCGTTCACAGTGTGCGTTCCGGCAAACGCTCCCAATGCGTAGAGCTCTTTGCTGCCTCCCGGCGCTAACCGCCGGTACTGCAGGCGACAGCAAAAGGTGCCATTACACACCCTCACTTTGCCCTCGGTCTCGTTCAGGAGGACGAAGGTGAATGGGTCGTACATCATGGATGAGATGAAGGTGGTGGTGGTGGAGGAGGGAAGAACCGAAGAAGCGGTTTCAGGAGGCGGAGCATCAAAGCAGTTCTCTTCGTGACAGTATCCGGAGGCTGCAGATGACGTGGACTGACCCCAAGCTACTGCCTTCTCCTCTTCCGTGAGGACTCTGTGCTCCATCCACAGAGGGTCTAAGACCGGCACCCTGGCTACCAGCAGCCTGCCCTCTTCTGGGTCTCCTCTCTGGGCGTGGTGGCAAGTGGCAGAAGTTGGGGTGTAGATACCACTTCCCGTCATAATCAATCGGTCACTACGAATGTTGGCCGCTAGCAGGGTGACATTAGCGCCGGAGCTGAAAGCCTTCTGGAACTGGATGGTGTCCAGAAGAGGGAGCTGGTTCATCCAGGCTGTGGGGAAGATTATCTGACGGACACCCTAAAGGGGGTCCAAGGAGAGGAAGTGAGGAGAACAGAAGGCCGACCATGAGACCGCAGAGCCGGGTAAAGGGTTTAATTTTCTACCTTCTCCAACAGAGTAAGTGTGGGCTCCTGGAATAGGATGTCAAAGCAAGTGATGAGACCAAATGTTCCAGCAAAAGGTGTATCAAACGTTGTGATCTCAGGTCGTGGCGGCTTGTCGAAGGCCTCCTCGAAGTAGAGGTTGTGTTTATGGTAGCGCGCCACCAGCAGGCCATCTGACCTGTAGCACAGAAGATTCTTTTAACAGTTCCTGGGAAATTGTGCACTTGCTGGACGTCGTTACAGCTGAAAGTAATCTTATTTCAAGGTCAGCTCCGGTACCTGAAGACCACGTTGGTATTGAACTGCCAGCGTCCATCCGATGGACAGGACGAGGGTTCGGTCTTCGGGCAGAGCTGCAGGTCCGCCATGTTGGCCACAAGGTAGAGGTTGTAACGACGGGCCATGCAGCTCAAGCTCTGGAGAACCTGTGAAACGCAACCGCACCTCAAACGTGATTATTGTCAGACTAGTGTGGAGGTGTCGTATGTTATCGTGCTGGAACATCTGTTAGACAATGGCGGAAATTCTAAACGTGTGGGTGCGCACCTCTGTGTTGTTGTATTTGCCTGGTTCTGTGCAGGGGTTCCAGCTCTCCTGCTGGGGGTCAGGGATGGTTTCTAGGTAGCCAGAGATGGAAGAACGGCTGAAGTTAAAACCCTGAAGGCCATCTTCTGGAAACACCAGGATCTGGGCACCCTGAATGGAGGATGGAGCAGTCACGTGCTCTGACATTAAGAGTACAACCTTCTCAACGCACATAAATACAATCTCTCCCGTGACGTCAGCAACCCGCTCTTTTGACGTGAACACACCTGCTGAGCGGCCAGAGCCGCCTGCTGCTCGAAGACCCGCAGGTTGTCGTGCATGTGCCGCAGGGCCGCGGGGCGGGACAGGGGGGTCCGAGGCTCCGGGTTCAGGACCACGCTGTGCTCGTACACAGCGGCGACGAACCAGGAGCCCCCGGCTGGTTCTGTCCGATCCGCCGCCGACGTGAAACAGAGGCCGACGACAACGACCACCAGGCGAAACATCGTTTGTTCTTTCCCGGGAGACGTGGATGTTGTTACGTCATGGCTTCTGAGGGATCAGGAGTGAGTCAGCTCCCTCTCTGGGTTAGAGGTGACAATAATCACTAGTGAAATATTTATATTGCTTTACACTGTGCAACTTGGTCCACGCGATCAGAATTGATCGAGGTCTTCATTTTCATAGTTCGTGTCTACTTGTCCTGTCCGGAACGGCTGACTATGGTAACCTGGCAGACTTTTATTTTGAAGGAAGAAAAAAACAGGACCGGAAGCACCAAGATAACCCGGAACTTCTTTACGAACCTAGTGCTCGTCCTACATCCAGCATGACCGGACCCAGAGATCACACATTAGTACTAGCATTTACTTAATGTGAATTATTTATCGACAACGGTGATCGCGAGAAACAGGCGAAGGTTCAGGGTTTTTTTTCTACCCGTGTTTCCCTGACGTCTCCGCGCGCGTTTGACCAGGACGTCTATTAGCATTAGCTCCTCGGTACAATGTCAACACCAACAGAGGCACCAAGAAAAGGTGCAGACGCCCCCGTGTCGAAGACCAACCAGGTGTTCAAAAGCTGCTGGAGCTGTCGGATGCTCTCGGGCGGAGGTCTGATCCTCTCCGGCGCGTACGTGTACAGTATTGCCCGCAGGGTGATGCGACAAGGTGGGCCTACCTCCATGGGGACCGTGGCGCAGATCACCTTTGCTGCTTGTAAGTGATCAGATGACGCGACTCTATAATGGTTGCTCGTCTTCAGGGAGTAATCCATGCACTACCGTGTTTTGTCCTCCAGGTCTGGCGGCGTGGGGAGTAGTGATAGTCACTGACCCGGTGGGAAGAGAGCTGAAGAGGACGTGAAAGGAGCGGGGAAACTCACGAGCGCACTTTTTAAAACTGGCTGAAAGACAGTTAATGGACAACATGACAGCCAGTCAAAGTGTGTGAAGTTTGTCCAAGGATCCTACAATATATTTAATCCAAAAGGAAATTTGTTATGTCTGTCATCATTGAACTTTTTTTTTTTTTTTTTACATAAACACAATTTTTAGTACCTATCTTAGTTTATTGCAGAAACCATTTCCACCACACCAATAAGCGTAGTATTGGAATTATGACTAACTAGCTGACCATAGAAAAATAGTTGTACTTAACTTGCTTTCCTTCACAAAAATTATTAGTAGTAGGAAAGAGACCTGTTCTTCCAAAAATATAAATCTCATCTAAATAATATTAGTTTTCTCATAAGATCTTTTTAGCAGCTGCGTCGGACACCGTCACATTAGTCGCGTTTCATCCTCAGCACCTACGAATCCCGAATGCATCAAACAAAAATAAAACCGCGTAGCCCTGAGGCTCCTTTAGTTTGTTAACTTTTATTAGTGTTATACTGATCCGAGCACAATAGCTCACAAGGAAGAGTTTGATAAGCATGATGCAAAAGAACACCCTAAAGCCATTTTCAGTCGCATAAATGATCATGACATTGATTCTTTTTTTAGGTTAAAGAAAAATATGAAAATAGAGTTGACGGTACATTTAGGCACACTATACACAGACTGTACACAGATATGCACAATTTTTCATAATCAGATTCATAAATACTGGGGTTAAAAAGACAACAAGCTTTCCTGTATGGAGAGATGTGCAGAAAGTTAGAAGTGACACCTCCTTCCGCGTGGGAACACAAGTCACCTCCCAGTAAGTGATGCTCCAGTTCATGTCCTCCTCGGCCAGTCAGAGTCCTCCAGGGCTGCTCAATGTACGCGAACCAGAGCAGACGAAGCAGTTCTATCCAGCGCCTGCAGCCCACGGCCCACAGTTGCTACGGTAAGTGCTCATTACAGGACATGGGTCCCTCCAGCTGTCAGTTAATAACCAAAGATCCGTTCCCACTCCACAGAACGGGCCAGAATGCACGCGTTAAAAAGAAGCCGTTATGCGAGGCGCCCCTGAACTACCTATAGCCCATTGAGCTAATCAAGCTGCTACACAGAAACCCGCCCCATCGATGCCCAAAACAGAAGACTCTGTACGAGTGGGCGAGGGATAAAAGGTAAAATACCCCCCAAAAACAAAAGAAACGCAGACTTATAAAACAAGTCTGTAAAATAAACATACTTTTACAACAACGGAATGTTAAGTTGTTGGGATGAGAAGACATTTCTTGGGAAGCTTCTTTCATGTTTTCTACTAATAAAACAATAATTACTTTTTTTGAAGTATACAATGATTCAAAATGCACATGCATTCGAGGAAAAAAAATATATATTGCACAAAATTAGACATTTTCTCTGAAAAAAAGTGGGTTTGTCTTGATTTCCTTGTAACGTTCAGTCGCGTGAGGGGGAGTTACCTCTTGGTCAGTATATAGTTTTAAGGCTGGTTCACCAGCTCACACTGGCACAGTTTCTGACTGAAGAAGACTGCATCTTTGTGCTAAACACACGCTCACGCAAAAACATTCTCTTTTACACACACACACACGCACACACGACCAGAGAGTACATTCTTTGATAGTTCGCTTGGACAGCCAGAGCCGAGGCCCCCCTCACAGCCGCAGCATTTAAGTTGTTAAAAAGGTCAAATTTGTATTTGCTTTCCTCGTCCGATTAAGGATATCCGAACACCAAACCAGTACGCTCGCACACACACATGTATTGAACAGCATGAGCATTGGTTGTCACGGGTTCGGGCGCTTGCGTTAAAGGGGATGTGGTTCTATTTGAGGATCATGGGTGGTACATTAGATATCACACTTTGGTGGAAACCCCGGTGCCTCAAAAATCTTTCTTCTCAAGAGAGTCATTGAGGCTGGAAAAGATGCAGACAATAAAAAATCTAAATCAGCTCTTTCAACCCATATTTGTTCAGTCACATTTTAAAATCAGCGCCTTTTTAACCCCATTGACGTTTTTGGTTGCTATGAATAAAAAAAACAATGTGCAGCTTTTGTAGATAAAGTGTCTACAGCGAGAGGTGTGACTAGAGCCGAGGAGCCCGGTCACAGAGTGAATTGGCCCAAAAGACAGAAGCGGGAAGGTAAGGCAAGGTGTGTGTCTATGCGATCTACTCCTGCAGTTTAAAAACAATAGGTTTTGTGGTCCGCTCTCTGGACCAGGAGAAAGCAGCGTTGACTGGCCCAGGATAAAGCTAAACACAACTAAAAAAAAAGTCCCAAAAAGAGGAGGAAAATATTGAAAATAAAAGAAAAGACTCCCGTCTTGGTGCAAATTACAGGATTTGTGTTTGCGCACGTTAGTGTGTGTGTGTGTGTGTGTGGGTCACAGAGTGAGAGGAGGGCAGAGTGTGTGTTGGTCATCCTTCAATTCTGTCTTGACGGAAATAATCAGCTGGATAATTGGAGTGTTTTTCACTGAAAAAGAGTGTGTGAGGGAAGTGGACGGGGAGAAATCACACACACATACCTCAACGTTCACATCAAGCCCCTCCCACTCTCAAGTCTGTGTGTCTCTGTCCTCTCCTGTCACCTCTTGAGGGAGGAGGATTTGAGTTTTTGGCTGTATCTGTGGATGCGTGGCGAGCGGGAGTGCAGCTTGACAAACAGCTCGGGAAATTTGTACTGGGGGAACATCGTCTCCAAGAAGCCCTCCAGGAAAACGTAGACCAGCCGACGGTTCATGGGTTGGTACTGAAACATGTCGAAGACACGGAGTATGCCTTTTCTCGTGGTGTCTGCGCCGATGATGTGCTTCAGCTCGTCTGCGGGAGGGAAATATAGCAGTCAGAAGCGAGCACACAGTCTTAAATGGAGGGATGACATCAAAGGACAATTAAAGTCAGTCAACACTGGATACTCTTTTACATAATGACCGATGAAAGAGAAAGAAAAAGTGTTTGATTCAGTTCGTTCAATTTGTGCTCAATCTGAAGAGCATGTTTCAGTCCATGATTACAAGATGAAGTATGTTTTAACAATGTTTTTGCTGGCTCTGTGGCTCCCTGAGATCTCTTGATAAAGAGTGCGTTATAAACAAAATACATCACAAGATAAAGTGTGTGTACCTGGCATGATGCCCAGCAGACTGGTCTTGGCAGCTATTCGTGTCCTCATTCGGATGCTTTTGTCCCGGCGGGGTAGAGTCTCAGCCAGGATACCGTTGGGCCAGTAGGAGTCTCTGTACGGAGACAGCCGCCGAGGGTCACTCGGATTTCTTCTGACCAGTCAGTTATTTCAAAAAAAGAAAACGGGAGTGGTTAACTTACCTGAACTTCTTGACGTAGTCTGCAACCTGTTCAGGCGACGTCAAGTAGTCCACATGGTCCACGATTTTCCTGGAGTGACAAAGGAAGGATGAGTCCGGTTGTGCTCTGAGTGACGCCATTAATGGTCTGAAGCTCTGTGTTTAGCTGTGAAGGTGCAACTGGTTCTGCAGGGAAGATGTTTGAGCATCTCAGGGCCATGAAATGTTTGTCTGAAATTCCATATTTCTGGGGGTATTATCGGTTACCATCAGAGTCATCTCATTTAAATTCTGCATGCTCGTTGACCGGTCTTGTTGAGATTGGGATCATTTGTAGACATGGTCAATAGGCGTGGAAGATGATATAGATAAATACAACGTTTCAACATTTTGCGTCTCCCACCTGTTGATGGTGTCTCCATACGTGGCCCGGATGAGCTGCTGTAGCAGGTTCTTGATGTTCCTGCGCAGCCACTGGTTTTTCTCCTTGAGGTCAAACACTTCGTCCATCAGCAGCAGCATTACCCTCAGCGGGATGTTATCGTCCACCTGGAAACACACACGGATGACCATTTAAATATACGTTCTAACAACAAGGAAACGGAAGAAAGAAAACGAACACGCAGCACCCGCCACCACTCACGTTGTCATCGAGCTGGGCGGAAACCCGACAGTGTTCAGGGTCGATTTCAGACTTGGGGAGGAGGGGCGGCACCTGGACCAAAGGAGAGAAACATCGGACCGCTTTCACATTTTCATTGAAGATGATCAGCCCTCACACAGATTTTGAGTCCCACAGGCTCCACGGAGCAAGTGAAAGAAATGCTCGTCAGTCTGTAAACTACTAAATCAGAGTTTGGGTTCCGAGTAAAAATCAGTGTGCCTAGATGGGACGCTGCATGCAACAGGTAGTGATTACATTGACTGCACTGCATCCACATTTGTAACTTGTGATGTACGTTGTAGTAGGTTTTTTGTTCTTTGGTCAAATGTTGTGTTTTGTATTCATGTGAAGAAGTCCACCCCTTCTTCAGAAAAAATATATTCTGATGATAAAATCCAATGAAAAAGATAATGCAAAGAACCAAGTTCATGAGATGGTGTTACCTTCAGTATGGACTGTTTAATGTCCTGACCCAGCCTTTCGGACATGCGGCCCATATTATCAGAGACCTTGTTCATGCCTTCAGCCAGACTGTCCGGAAGGCCCTTTACCGCATTGGACACATTTCTCATGGAGCTCCTCAGAGGATTTACTAATGTGTCTATCTGATGGTGGAGAAGGAGAAAATTAGAGACAACGGAGTCAAGGACATCCAAACATATCTGTGATTAAATAACTGCGGGAATAATATACATACAGTACCAAACCTTTGACTGATACTGTATATATATAAAAAAAAAGAAGAATGTAGTAACCTTGCGTGCAAAATCTCCCTTCCCCTTGCTGTAGGCCTTGTTCTCCAGGAAGTCATACACATAGGGAATCAGCGTTGGGCAGCCCTTCACCATCTCTGGGTTCAGCAGCAACTGACAGACACACACCAACAGTTAATAATATGCACTCAATAAAATGATGCGAGACAACAAAAGCATTACAAATGTCAACACGAAGATGTAAAACGGTTACCTGCAGGTACGCATTTAGGTCTTTTTTTCTCTTCTCTAAGAAGTCCCTGTCCATGTTGTTGAAGGTCTTCTTTCCCGGCAGCTTGAGGATCAACGCCAGGTTCTCAAACTAGAAAAAGAATTCAGTAAAGGGAGATAACCAAGTTCATGAGATGTTGCTCCAAGCCTAAATACTAAAGGCCTCTGGTACAGAAACACCATCACCCACCCACACACACACACACACCTGTTCAGTGATCCTCATGTGGAAGTCGTGAAAGTCAGAGTAGCGGCGATAGGTCTTCCAGGAGTCCTCGCTGCCGTCGTGGCTGCGTCTGAACACGGTGATTGCGTAGAGCGCGTAGGTCTTACCGTGGTCGTTGCACACCCCTGCAGCACCCCAGAAGCCCGGGAGAGAAGCGTCAGCTACGGCGCCCGGAGACACATCCGACAGGGGAATGGAGGATGCGGGGGCGGATGAAAGCGGAAAAGAAAGAACGTGCGTGTTCAAAGCAAAGGAAAAAGGGTGTGGAAATGTGATAACGGGGGGAGAGAAAATGTGACAGGAAAGGTAAGGGAGGAAAAAGGAAGAACAGAAAAACAGTGATGGTGATAAAATGAGGAAAATAAAGAATACTGGAAAACAGTGTGAAGTGACAGAGGTGACAGAATGAACGGAGCTTGGAGACGAAAAGTTGAAACGTGCAAGGAGGGACCAACGGGGGCCAAGATATACACATACAAGTACACAATATACACAAAAAATACCCCAATGCTAAACACTAACCGTTACAGCACCCAAAAACCAAGTGAAAGCAAACATGACATGTTGCCAGAATGTAGAATAAACATTTTATTTACAACAATTTTTCTGAAAAAGTGTCCGAGTGATTTAAACACTCTTCTAGACGTTACTGCAACAGTGCTCACAAAAGGAGTGGACGAGACGCGTGTACCTGTGTCAGAGATGAAGGCTTGTAGGTGCATATTTTCATCATGAAAGGAGTTTGACAAGTCGTCCAGAGACTGAAATCACAAGAAACAAGTCTTCATTAAACTATGTAGTTTGCCAACGATGTCGGGTCAACAAAACAAAACAGGGTTTTTCAAAGCCCTGCAGCAGGAAGTGAAGGAGACTCACTAGGTTTATGCTTCCTGTGGGAGAGCCGTTAAATGATTCACCATCGCCGTCATCAGACCCCCGGTAGCTTGGCTCTTTCAGCATGTCTAACTCTGCTAGCATGCGGACGTACAGAGGACTCTGCTTGAAGGACGGGTAGTAGCGCTCATCACGCAGCATCATCTCATACACCTGGGATAGATATGGGTGGAACAATTGGAAGGAGAAGAAAAAGATATATAGCCCCTCAGTATTGGCATGATTCATCAAATTTCCTCATACACAGATAGCAAGAGATGTAGTACATTTCTCTGGATTTCATCGAATATCTCCGGCGTGGGGTCGTCTTTCTGTATCTTCTCCCCGAGGATTAGCACGGATGCTTCGTCCACCTGAACCCTGGGAGACGCCTGTCCGTGAAGAAAAAAAAATAACAAGATTGAAGTCTGCACATGCTAAAGAATGAGTTAGATTTAGTTTTGTTTTTTTTACGTGAAGCACTGGTGTGATCCCTCCCACCTTGTCCGAGAGGTATTGCTCGTAGACACCCAGTGCAGCGGCCTTCAGCAGCCCCTTGGTGGCGCTGGGCTGCTTCTTGCCATCCGTCTGCCAGGCCTGCATGGCCTCCAGCTGCTGCTGTGCAGTCACCCTGTAGCCCTCCACGGTGAGCCAGAAGAACAGCTCCGCCTGTGCGCCCGCCAGCTGCATGAAGTCTGGATAAACAGACACGCGGGTTGGTGTCCGTCGGCCGTAGCACACTCTGCTGCATCTACTGTTACACTCTGAGGTAACTCGTTTGGATATAGAGATATTATGACGGATGACGGCCATAATGTCGAGGCTGTTTGCTTTTGCCTGATTTTCCACACCAGATCTGGCACAACTTGGCTCGTCTCCCAGTTCGCACACATGAACACACATTCTACGCTAATCTGATCTGTAAAGTGGAGTGACCTCTGACGAGGTCATCTGTGACCCAAAGGGGCAGTGCGCCTAGTGAGACCTGTTTTGGTTGTGAATTCTAGAGCCATGGAATAAGTTATGGATTAAAGGGATGATTGACAGATATGTTCAGGATTATGGCCCTGGGATAACTACAGTAACGATTGCCATCAGTGCTCATGTGATGATGCATTTCCAGAATTACCCATGAAGAACTGCAGGGCGATGTTGTGGATGAGGATGTGATCCAGTGGGATGACACACAGCTTGCCAAAGTTGGCTGCCAGCTTCAAGGCATCCACCTCCTACACAACACAGTAAAAATGAGAAGTAAAGGCTGATGCACAAAGCAGACAAGTATTTGTTACAACTTAACCAACAAACTGACTTTGAGCAAAAGCATCTGGAACTAGCAGACAATGATTCACTATCACACTAACTATGAGTGAAGGATTCTTTTAGCGATGGTCCTGTATAAGCACAATACAGCGCGGCTGCAGTGTCTCACCTTGCCGGAGTGTAGTCTCTGGATCCTGGTCTCACACACCTTCTTCACAAACAGAAGACTGTTAATCTGGTTCTTGATCACATTGATGTCTGGTGAACAGAAAAACAGAGACATCAAGGGAGAAGTTGAAAGCAGTGTATTTATTTAGCCACGTTTTAACTTCTTCTCACATTCTTATTTCTCATTATAATACGGGTAGATGAAATCCAGGTTCTGATTGGTTCCGAGTGAGTCACGAGGGGCACATTATTGGGCGATAATGTACAGTTGCTGTTCACATTGACTTGAGCGTTCCATATCCCTGCGCACTCAAAGTAACATGTTACAGTGTTTCCCACACATAGACTAATTTGTGGCCGTGCGCCACAGATTAAACACCGGCCGTCACACATTGTGTTTGGTGTATTTTTAAAAAGCGACCTTCGTTCAGCTGCATTTCCTTTCCCTGCTCTCCCTCAGTCTCTGTGACACGTGTCTCACATACACACACAGCCCCTACCCTCCGTGCACGCCGCGTCTATCTCACGTGTCTTTTTTTAGCAACACCGCAAAATCTGCTGCTCTGACAGAAGTTGCGGACTTTGCACATGTAGTCTGTAACAACAAGTAGTATAGCGTGTGAAATGTGTACTACAGCTATGGGAGTTGAATATAGTGTGAATTGTGTCTAGCGATGTGCGTTTTAGTACGTTTGTCGTACAACCGCTAGTCTGTGTTATGTCCATTTGAGCTAATGTGTGATGCTCTACCCAGACGCCGCTCCTTGCCTAAACCAAACTGAGTATTTCCAGTTGGTGTAACGCATCTGACACGGGCATTCTCCTGTGGTGTGAAGGGGAAACCGATGCTTTGGGCCATGGTCAAAGAATCTGCTTTAGTTTAATACGTCAGTGAGGAAAGGAAAGTGAGTTCCCACCATCTCCGGCAGTGTCCAGAGAGCGGAGGTACTGCAGCTCCTCCAGCACCTTGTCTTTGACGGCCTCCAGCTCAGCCGCTTTGTCTGTGAGCTTCAGGATGTTCATAAAGGCTTCATAGTTACAGCTGGAGTCCCGGATCTGTTTAAAAAATAAAAAACAAGTAATTTAATTTGGTTTCTCGGTTGTGACTGGGATAGTTTTGGATACTCTCTAATGGGTAGGACGTATGCACAGGTGTCAACTCTCACCATCCAGATGACAAACTGGTTGATGTAATCTGGGTCACTGAGCTGGTTGATCAGAGGCAGCAGCACACCTCGCGCCAGCACCTCCTGCAAAAAAACAAAAACAACGCAGTGCATTTATTAGTTTGGCACTATAAACTCAACTTGCCGTCACATAGACTGTTAGGACAGAGTAGCCAGTGCAGGAGCCGGATGTCGGCTCGCTGACAGCCAATGAGGGAGCATTTGGCCGGCGGTTCAACCATGAGACGAACGCAGGTTGTACAACATATTGTGTGACTATTTGCATTGAAGACCAACAAAGTCAGTCAGTAAGTTGTGATCTTTTGGCAGACGGACAGAGTGAGCGTTTGCACTTACCCGTAGGAAGTATCTCATGTTCTTGTTGTGGAAATCTCCAGGAGGTAATAACAGATAGAGAAGCAACTCACACAAGTCGCGAAGAAAACCTGTCACACACACACACACACAGACACGCACACGTTAAGTGTTTACAGAGAATACAGTTTACAGTCGGACAGCGATACATTTTTGTGAAGAGTTCTTCACGGCACTGTGAACTGTAAAGGCACGTTACAAAAGTGTGCTTACCTTCCTCATCTTTGTGCGAAGTGCATACTACGTCTCGACAAATCTTCCTTTCCATCTCCACCTCGGCCTCAAAGAAGGAGTCCACCAGCTCCTCTGTTATGTCCCCTGTTCACACATCGCTCCGTCAGTCACAATGAATTGCCTCAATTTTCAGCATCTGACTTGATTAGAACTTTACAGGAGAATTTTTCTGCAGCACAATTGTAATCATATGTAGTCCATGAAATGACCAACAAAACACTGCATTTCTTTTATATCAATTAGTCACCTGTGTTACCTTAAGAGTACATGTCCAGCCTGCGCAAGCCTGTGTTTATGTAGTTTTTTTTTAGATAAAATGCAACTGTTTGGGCAGTTGTGAGACTGGACTTGGATTATTATGCTCAGGTTGTGTGAGTTTGTACACCAACGTGTTGATGTAGTTACCTTCATTTCGACAAGACTTTTCTGTATTTTGTGATTATCTGTTCACTGTGGAAGCGGGAAGTGACACGTTGCCAAGAACTGAAGGTGAAACGGGAGGAGTAGTTGCCGGAATGTGCGGGCTTACTCTGCTTGTCCTCTCTGTCAGCGAGTCGGTCCTGTGCTTTCCTGAAGACACGCAAATGGGTGGCAAAGTCGTCCACCAGGCGAGTGGTGAAGTAAGGCTGCCAGTCCACCTCTTTGGACCTTTGAGTGTAAAAAACACAGGAATAATGCAGAATGTTACAACATTAATAAAACACGCAACATCTAGACGGACAAAAGTTTTGCTTGTACCGTGTAGAAAACTGGACGAGGGCGTTCTGCAGCGTCTGTCTGATCTCCAATAAGAAGGAATCATCCTCGCTCAGAGTGTAGTACCAGTACTGGATGTAGTCTCTCAGAGCAAACTGGATCACCTACAACGACAAAGAAACAGCCGTATGGAAATTACATTTAGTCAAAACAACAACACGGTGAGCTAGACTGAGGATGGGCCAGAACAACCATCAAGACCACAGCCAGGCGGAGAGCATGGCGCCGACTTACACAACACTCTGCTGCGCTAGACGTTCAGATGCTGCTGAAATGATTAGTTTGCATTCCCGGGGAGGAAGGGAGAAACCAGCTCACCATGGTAGAGCCGTCAGTGTCATCTGACCATCACAAAACTGTGGCGTCTGCACTTAACGGTCAGCCACACTGCTCTACGTTGTGTTGTAACCACAGGATAGGGGGGCAAAGAAAAACTGTGACATCTAGACAAAAGCCTGTGAGCTCTGCTTGCCCGTTTGTAATGCGGACAGACAGCTTCAGCATCATTTCGAGGATCTATTTGCGATTGTGTTAAGCTGAAGGACATTCGAAGTCAATCACCAGCGGACTCACTGGCATAGATTAAAAGATGAGAAGAGCTTTGGTGGAAAATTGACTGGGTAACGGTACAGAAACTTTCAGTTCCACTTTCCGTTGGCCGGTTCGTCACAGTGCTCGATAAGATTTTAGAAGGCCACATGAGTACGGCATTATCTTCTGACATGAAGTAATCCTCAACACATTTTAACATTGTTTTGTAGACATCGTAATTAAATATTTATAAATACACGGAAGCTGAAAATAATTCAATTTTAAGTTGAAATGGGGAATCTGCAAGTTTGCTTTGTAGTACCTATTATAATTGAATAAAGCTGCTATTTAATACACTCATTTTTCCAGGTTGTTGGTATTTTCATTCGTGGAAAAACGTCTTTAGGTGTGCACGGTTTGACAGTGTCGTCTCCGTCAGGCAGTGCAAACACACAGCTGCAACCTGCTCTCTGGCTCGAGGCTACGGCGTTGCTGAGCTAGGCCAGCTGATGAGTTACGGACTTAAGTGGGCCAGCGTAAAAAATGTCTGGAATTCTAGTATTTAAAAGTATTTATAAGCATCTTGTGTGGGCTTCTCTCCTCAATCGTCATCGCTGCAGTGCTTTTTATGACCAGGCACACAGTGCGTGACCATTCTGATCAAAGGTCAAAGGGTAAAACCGTGGTGCTGGTGAACCTTAGACACAGAGGCAAAGTGTACACGAGGTAAGATGGTACACACACACACACACACACACACACACACACACACACACACACACACACCTGTTGTAGTGGTTCATCAATGAAACTGGATCCAGTCAGTCTTCTGTCAATTTTGATGGGTTTCATCTCCAGCTTCATCTCATCCGATGGCTAAAGGGGAGAAAAAGAAGTCAACCAATCAAGACCGTGATGATCTACGTGGCAAGCTGACTTCATCAACACAACTAATTCATTTGTTTAAATAGATGAGCTCGAACAGCGTTCTTTTACCTTCAGTATACCAATTTGTGTGGGCGGCAAGTAAGAATGCTCGCACTTTTCCAGGTGTTTCTCCGAGTTGATCTTCCCGTAGAGGAGAGTCACCGCAAAGCCCCTGGAAAACCGAAGAGCGAATGAGAGAACAGCTACAGGCCATCCATCAGGTTCTGCGGCTAATGAGGGAGCGCAGGCTCATTTAAAGACGTGTGGTCTTCCTTCTCACCCGCCAATGAAGCAGAAGACATAAAAGGCCAGGTAGAATATGGCAAAGGGTCCAAAGGTGACAAGGAACAGCACGACTCCAAGACCCCCCCATCCCCAGATGGACAGACTGGCCTAAAACAAAACAACACAAAACAAAGGGATAAATAATCTATTCACACATCAGTTTATACTTTAACCAGTCTGTAGGTCATTACAGGGTTGCCTACACGATGTATTCATTTACAAACATGTTTTACGATTTTCGATCAGCTGGTCCTGATTAGGGACTGATCTGATCAGTTGACACTAAAAGTAACAACTTCAGGAGCAAATCAGGTGAGACGGACATTGCACAAGGATGTCATTCATCGCTAAAGCCCCATCCTACACTTTAGATGTTGGAACAGGAAAAGATTCATTTAAAAGAGACACATTGTGGTGTGTTGCATTGTTGTTAGAAAGAACCAGGCTGTCTGTGTGTGTCTGTGTGTGTGTGTGTGTGTGTGTGTGTGTGTGTTACATCCTAAGGTTTTCCTGTTATTGTCAATGGAGGAAACCAAGCTCTAGTTTCCATCCAGCAGCTCTCTACTTTTTCTAGTGAAGTTCTCATTTCTTACATTGTGCGCTGTATAGTCACAAGTCAAAGAATACTAAATGCATGTCATTGGACAATGTGAAAGTTGTGTCACAATTATCCTTCCAAAAATGATTGTGATTTACTTTATTATCTCAATCAAACATGCTTAAAATGACACTAAAATAGACTAGAATAATTTTATTGGGTATTTCTTACATATGTAAATTGTGAATTTTTTGAAAAATTATTTTTAGTGAAAAAAAAGTGTTTTAGCGTCTGTCAAAGAGCGCCACAAACGTATTTAAAACAGCCTGTACGAGCTGGAATAATGAAAGCAGGCCATGCAAACCACAGCTCATATATAGCATACTGTGAGGTTATGAGGATTTGTAAGAAATGTAGTTATGTAGGTCAATTGTTGACCTGTGAAAAAGTCTCCCACACTGTATAAAAGCTACGCGCTGACCGCGGAGCAGTCACATAGACGGACAAGGAGGCGATCAGCAGTGATGATCTTTGGCTTCCCAACATTCAGTGCGAGAGTTCCTTAAATAAGCAGCTCCTCCGATGGCGCCAGATAGACACGGAAAGAATTTACTCTGGACACCGAGACATTGTCCTCTCTGCCACAGCCAGCTGTGGACAATCGGATGACACGCGGTGTCAACGGGGATGGCCGGCGTTTAAAGTGTGGCATGACCACGACACACAGGGAGCCTATTCACGACCAACGCAAAGCTAACTACTGGCGAGGAACATGGTCAGTAGTGTGAGAAGACACGCTAATGGCAATCTATGGCTCTACACACAAACCTACAACTTATTTACTGATAGAAAAGGCCTCCATAAAGTTGAGTGAGAAAGGACTACTGAACTGCAACGTAAGCTTAATGTAGAACAGAGCTTATTAAAAGAAAAGAACTACGCATTTTACTCATAATTATACTTTATTACAAATGGCAATTGCATTTCACTAAAATAAATATAAAAAGATAATTGTCCAACAGCAATTTCAAACATCCCATGAAAACCTAGAGGCGATGCTGAGCTCATGCCGAGGAGCACATGCATGCCTCATGACTAGGAGGACCCGGTGATGTTTTATTGTTTTCACTTCCAATTTGGGTCATTTTATATTATGTATATTCATAAAGTATCCGCACCAAATAAATTATTTGTTGGCCATCAACTGATCAAAGTAATACCACCATCACGTACATCATGTAGGTGTCCATTTGCATAGGAGATTGTAGTATTAGACCTCTTAAGGAATGCAATTGGTTAGTTAGCGTTAGTTACTTTGGTAAATCCAAACTAACTGTGATAACACAACAGTCCCACACCAACACACACAAACTGAGAAAACGATCCCTCCCTTAGAGCACGCCCTGGAAAATAACACCTATAGCAGACACTTTGTTTATGAAGCCAATTAAAGATCATAGAACACATTGACATGTAACGTAATGGACTATTTGATATGAGGTTTTCTTCCTTGTTAAGTAATCTGATTGACCGTATAATAAATGGGATTCTTATGTACACAAGAAAAATTTGGTTATCACAAAAAGCCGACTGTAACTGAGTGAATGTGAACCCAATGGCGCTTCAGAATGTGACCAAACTGGCTCGACTACCCCTTCTCTCAAGTCATGACTTGCCGGGACAGAGTTGGTAATAGTAGTGCCATGACTCTGGGAAGAGAATGGCTGGGCGTAAGAAGAGGACTATCGTTAAAGTTGAGCTGGGAGTGGTTAGGAAAACAAAAGGAATGCCATTCACAGAGCACATACAGCAGTTTACACCCTGCCACAAATCGTACGTTGCATTGTCCTGAACTCTGGCGCTTCCAAGTAGAACAGTTAAAAGAAATCATTGAGGATACCAAAGTAAACACCAAGTCATGACTGAAAAGCAAACCTGAATGAAGAACTTGACTTGAACTAACACACCCACTCTATTTACCTTTGACCCTCACAGGCATCAGAGAACGCACTGACCGCTTCACTTTTATTACCAGCAGGCGTAAGCTACTTGCTAACAGGGGACTGTACTCACACACAGGATAACAGCATGATAATAAAACCTGGCGAGACATTGAACCTCTACAGTGAAGCGGTGTTTCCTCCGTGTGTTTTAGTAATGTGGGGGTTGAGGTGGCTTTAGTGCGGATACGCAAGTTAAGCAAAGTTCACAACGCACAACTTTCAAAGTCATCAGATTGTCTGAGTGTTCCCACCACACAGCTTGCTGTCTTGTAGATGGGAGTCTTATGTTATTCACACTGCATCGCTGATCGGACACAGTGGCTCAGACACGATGAGACACCCCACCCACCTGGAGGAAACCCAAGAGGAGCTCTCACAACCAAATTTAGTCAGGAAAACACACACGAGAAGTGACACGGGCCAGTCATGCTTGTTCACATTATCATTGGCACACGTCCACCTGTTTCCACACTCATTTACCATTTCCCCAATGCAGATCGGTCCCTCCGTTAGGTTTATTCATGCTTTCAACCAATACTCCAGGTGCACCAGAAACTTCAGAAAGTGCTCCCATTGTGACGCGCGACGCCTCCCAACAGGCCCCCCCCCCCCCCCTCAATCGGTGCCACAAACTCATTGGTTACAGCTCGCTGACGGGTCCAGGTAACTAGCCTGCCAGGTGTATCTGGAATGTGCATGCAATGAACTGCTGCCTTTCACATTGCAAGCTCTGAGCCAACGCCGGTTTCCCTCCCATCTCGGGCTTTTGTGCAGGAGCTCAATTATTTTTCGCTGAGTGTAAAATCACAGCTAAAGTCTTTGTAGTATTAACCAGACATGATTTCCTGAGAAAGTATTTCAAATGTATTCTCAAATGTCCAGTGTGACGCCAGCAGCGTATGTGGATGCTATCAGCGCGGCTGTGTGATGAGGCCGTGGAGGCTTGCCTCTGTAGGAAAGACGATAACCGAAACTCTTGAGTCATTACAGCTTACACAGGGTTTTAAACATGGACCATCTGCTGCGGTGATTAACACCCAAGGCCGGTGGTAACGCACACATCTAAACATCGGGACAACTCTTCCTTACGCAACCCACACTGAACAGGCACACGTGACACATAATAAAAAGGATCATCCAGTGCCAGTTCTATAAACAAAATAGATTCAAACTGCATTGCTATTTATGCGATATGTGTGCGAAAGTTAACTAGCGCTTCGCTGCGGTCCCGATGAGTGGGGTCATTACCTCGGCCCATTAAAGCTCCCCTGTGGGAGAGCCACGGTTAATGCCTCAGAGGAAGAGAAAGCGAGTGGGGCCGACCGATCATGCTGGCCTAATCCACCAGGACCACCGTCATACAAAGAGCTACCATATTAGCTCCATGATTAAAACTCTAGAATGAAAACTATAAAAATGGAGTTACGCTTTTCAACTTTAAAAGACAATAAAAGACAGTAATTGATTTAAATGAGGTCCGAAATTACCAGGATTATAGCGAGATGTAAATAAATGATGAAAATCTCACATTGCGCTAAATCTGTGCAGTGCAATCTCCAGCTAACTAGACTTCAGCTATTCCCAAATTACCTAAACACACATGAGGTGGAGCAACAAATACAGCTGGAGAGCAGAGACGAGCTGAACAATCTCATAATGAACACAGCACCTCAAAAACACAACTGGAGAGAAATATTGAAGAAGCGAGCAGCTTCTCCGGTACAGATCATCTGGTTGATGTAATTCACCAAAGATCAACTGGTAGGAATCAAGAGGCCATCAGCAACACGCAACGGACCTACTGGGAACTGTACCCGTTTGCAGTAGGCGTCTCTGCATAAGCTTTGCTGATGTGCATTTGTCGTGCTCAGCAGCTTTAGAAATGATACATAAAACCAATACATGCAATGAAGTAATTCACACAAGTCTAGCTGGGAAGTCCAATGTGACTTGTGACGGCTTGACTTTCACACACCACGGGCATATCTAGACAGCACTTGATCAGATTGGCAGTGCAACCGCTTCTATGTAGTTACGTTTTACTTTACGCTTCTATTTAAGGAAGGCGTGTATAAGATGACAGGCAGGCCTGATCATGTGCTGGCCTGATGTCTACAGAGCTTTGATTAAGACACCGTAAGAAGATTTCACCAGGAGTGAAAAGCAGATACCTTGTGTGCTTGAGGATGAACACAAGATGCCCTCACATCCGCTTCATCAAAATAAATTGCTTTACGAACGTGCATTCATCATGCTATGGGAGTACACCATTGATCAAAAATAAATAGGGTCAAATAAGTAGGTCACACAGACAGAAATTAAGTCTGTGCCAATATCTACAGCCAAACTTTATATTACTGTTGAATGTAGAACAGAAATAGAAAACACAGGAAAGCCATTTGCATGAACACTTTGTATAAAAACCTGCACTCAAAAATAAATACAAAAATTGCATAAGAGGTAGATACCAGATAGGTTAACCTCAGACTAAAGGTTAACATTATGCAAAAGGATGCCAGGCTATAGTAGCCGACTGCACGTTGCACAGAAACCAGTGCTCCTTTGTCAGACATGCAGAACAGGGCAGTGTGAAAGTTAAAGCCTCATTACCGACGCTAAACCCGTACTTAAAACAGCTGGAGAGGTGCCGAAACGTGGCCGGGTCAAGTGCCTCACGGGCGAGGTGGACAAGTGCTGGAGAACATTCGTCTAAAAATTAAAAATAAATAAAAATGAACCCCACAGGAAACCAGCCTTGCACCGAGCAACGAAAAAAAAATCACGTGAGAAGAACCGTGGCGAAACTACGACGTTATTACAAACCGGCTCACTGACCGTCAACATAAGGACCGGCGATCGGGCAGCTGTGTGTGTGTGCGCACGTCCAGGGCTTTCTCCTCAAGTGACAGCCAAGCGAGAAGGAAACAGGCCACAACGCGCTTGTCATCCGGGCGATTTCGCTCGTCGCAGAAAACGGTTTGGTGAGCAAGCAACGTCGAAGTCCACAACTTGCATCAACCTCGCTGACACCACGCAGAGTAACCCAACGTTACCTCGCTCTCGCCTTCATTATCGGCCTGGTTTTCAGTTCCCCACAACCGTTCAAAGAGGCTAATTATACCGCTCCGCTCACCTGTGTACGTTTTGATGAAGCATTTCGCCTTTGACGGACGTCACTCATAATCTAAACTTGCTGCCGACATTGCCTGTGTCGAGCTAACGTTAATTCCAGCGCGGTGTTGACCGCGAGCGGCTCATCGTATTAGCGAAGGGTTAACAGTTTAATCCCGGGCCGATCGCCCTCTTTACATTGGCAGCTTTCCCCTGAGGCACAGCGGGTACCGGCGTGTCGTCCTCTCCCCGCCGGGGCTTGTGTGTTTACCTGCGCCGCTAACGCTAACAACCGTTAGCCGCTACAAGCTAACTAGCCGCGTCTATCAGTGGAAAACAAACTACGGTGACGACACGCGCGTCCGTTTCCCCCGGCGCAAACTCACCTCTGCGAACATTGTCCCAAAGGCTGTGGTCGCGGTGGCTTTCGGCTAACCCCACCACATCGTAACATGCGAAGAGGAGGTTATTGTCTCGGTTAAAAACGGTCGTATTTCCAATCTCCGTACCCTCCTCGGAGCGTCGCCATGTTTGCAAGATTTACGTCTCGGGTGCCCTGTTTCTGCACGTCGCCCTGCGATTGGCTGGGAGGCGATGACGCAAAAACACACCCGTGACTGATTGACGGGCACAAATGCAGCGCTGACGACACCCACTGACCCAAATGTGAGAATCTACGGACAATTTGTGACATCTAACGATATCTTACGCTGGTTTACCGCAGAAACACTGGACTGAACTTTAAAAAATATGTTCAGGCAGATAGCAAATTATCTTTTATGTGTTGCTTTGAAATATGTTTATTTGAATAATACAATATAACTACTTATATGCTGATGTAGGTGGAAACCATTCGCTATGAGATTTTTCAAAATATAATGTATTTCTAATTTTAGCAATATTTTCAAACAACTACCATTTGATCATATTGATTGTGCCTCTTTCAATCTCAGGAGACTAAACTCTCAAGTGGGGTACGTGGGATCTATTCAAATTGAATCAACATAATATATTGTATATCATCATGATTGTTTAAATGCAACCACAGGACTTGTTTTTCATGTGGAAAAATAAAATGCACTGACAATCAACGTCTAAGTCAAACACAAGTCATCATTGCACAATTATCTTCCTCTTTATCCCATTGCAATCCAGGTATCAAACACGCCAACATAGGCATTAATGTAACTTGTACTCCAGTTCAATATCAATTTTCTCAGGCAGGGAGGCAGGAACGACGGTCTCCAGCTCTTCCATGTCCAGGAGAGGGGAGCTCACTCGCCCGGCTGCCAATTCTTCTAGAACCCAGGAACACGCAAAACATATCTCCCGTCCCTGATCATGTTTCTTGTCTTGCTATTTCCCTCTGTTTTCTCTGTCAGTCCCTCTCGCCACACGCAGAAACCCACAGGCAAGTTACAACAGTAAACTTTACACCCACGCTTTATGAGTTACAGGCCTGTTATGAGATAATCACGCGACTATCTTATTGGTGTTTTTGCAACCTGTTCTGAGAGGTAATTTCAGCTTTGCTGGCGCGCCAACATAACAGTGGCTTCTTCATCAACCAGTTCTGCATTTGAGCTCATCATTGCACCACGTGCCGAGCCCTTGATGCAATTAAAAAACAACATTTATTTCCATGCCACGTTGTCAAACTTACTTACTTACTGTACTTTCTGAACGGTCTCAAAAATATTTTTTTATAGACTGCACATGAAGAATGTGACCCCCTCCTAACCAGCAGTGTGGTATTTTTACCGCTAGATGTCACTATTTATCTATCGCGCCTGTAGGTGTGCTGGACGGCTCAAAAAAAAATCGTGGAATGTCTCAAATTAATCCTGTTGTGCAATCAGAGCTTCACAAACAATCAGCAATCCCTTGAAGAAGAGCACAGGGGAGCTACTTACGTAAACAATATACTGAATGCGAGCTGTCCGCTATGTAATAAACATTTATTACTAAAAATATTTCAAGGAAGAATCGTTATAGACGAGGCTTCAACTCTCAAAATATGTCAAATGAAGCAAATATTGTTTAGAGCAAAAGCCCTCCATTCAATTCTGTGAATCAACACTGGGAATATGATTTTTGTAGAGTTTTTGACTGTAGGAGCCTCAAAATAACCTTTGAGTGCATGCACAGAACAAGGAATGCCAATTTCTTTCCACCAGGAAGGACGAGGAATAATCAAAGCATGCAGAAACAGATCACCTGATTTAAGACCGACATGGGGAGTTGTCAACCTGTCAATTAAGTAGAAACAAGGCTGTCGTCTCTTTGTGTATTTTCGCCTGCTCCGGTTTGTACGGATTTTTGAATCCTCGATTAGTTCCCTTCTCTATCTTTTTTTCTTTTCTTTTTTTGTCTCAGACTGAAGGCCAGAGTTCCTGAGTATTTCTTACTTGCCTGATCACTGTTAATCAGAAAGACTTTGGTCCAAGAGGCTATGTACATCTCCCATAGCACCACCTCAGGTACCTTAAAGAACACAAAAACTGTTGGGGTCAACATTAGGATGCGACGTGTGTTTGGATGTCCGACATGATATCAACATTTGTTTGCATTTGTTGGATGACGATGCGGCAAGCCGAGTTGCTTAAAAACTAAAAATGTAATTAGAGGAGACCTATTTCCAGACGTTACAACTTCCTTTGCTCTGCTTAGTAAGCGAACGAGTGACCTGAGGCACACACGGTGTCCCTTTTGGTTTTGCCTGAAGGAGGAGGACCTGCGTGTCATAGGTCAGAGGTCAGGAGGTGGAATGTGACATCCAATGGTAATTCAATGACGAAGGAAATGGGTGTTAAAGGTATATATCTTTGTTGATGTACCTCCAAAATGTCACCTTTGATAATAAAATAAAAACAGCCTTACCTTCAGCCCGGCATATTACATTTTGTGTTTTGTGGGTCCTTTGACAGTAAAGTGAGACTGAAAAGATGCACCACTACATAAATGGATGATTACCTCACAGAGCTTTATGTAACAGTATCGCCCTGACGCATTCTAAGAAAAAGTGTGTCAGTGTCTCCAGATTTTGGCAGAAATACAACCGTTTGGAACACAGCTTGAATTATGCTTCAGAATTCTGACCACAGCCTCTGTTTTCTGTCAAGAAGGACAACAAAAACCATTTTACAACCACTTCTGGGTGAGCTTTTTATCCTTCGAGGTTTAGTATTACTCTAACGCTTAGAAATAGCTCAGTGTTCGAGGTTTTCAACCGACAGCCGTTGCAGAGATGAGATATTCATTTGTCAGCTGTTAATTGTGTGACCTCGGTTGCGTGTTTGTGTGCGTTGCTGCTAAGCCGCGGTGGCAGGGTGACACTGGCTAAATGTTTGCAGATGAAGGCCCACAATATTTAATCACCACGGTAACAAGGGTCACCAGGGTAGGCCAGTGGGGCAAGCAGCCCAAGGCACTGAGGGTATTAATGGGGCAAGATGTTTGTTTCAGAATCAACCGCTTAAGGGTATGTGAGTGTGTGCATGGGGTTGTGTGCGTGTGTGTGTGTGTGTGTGTGTGTGTGGGTATGCCCCCAATTGTCCCTTGACTACTTGCCTGAGGGGAAAGTGTGCTTGGCCGCTGCTCCACCAAACTCCACTTAACACAACCTTCTCCCCTCCTGACCTCAGCTCAGTCCACACGGTCACCGTGTGACAGGAGGAGAGTGGACACTTCCTGGTGAAAAATGACTGTGTCATTGTAGCGCCGTGTGCACATCTCTGTGGTCACACACTGACCGCTGACACAAATGTACAACATGAGCTTACTGTGAATAAGTGAATAACATTTAGGACATTGCACAAAGTCAGGAGGGCACTAACCACAATGGATCACAAAAGTTAGAGCAAGGCGTAATAACAAGTACAACTCATAGTACAAAGTAAAAATAATTTAAGTCTATAAAAAACCATGAGTATGCGTGTGGGCAGGAAAGATTTGCGGTTCAGTGTGTTGAGTGTGTTGCTCAAGGATGCTTTGACAAGCAAACAGAAGGAGTCCCATGATTAATGGATCAACAACCCTACCACCTGAGCTCCCCCCATCCAGAGATTGCAGGTCTATCAATCACAAAAATGAAAATATATATATATATATATTTATATCACCAGGAAGGGGAATATGCCTATAGAGCCCTTACCGACTTCAGGGACCTTTTAACATTGCTCCATACAGCAAACTTGATGAATAAAAGGCATGGACAACTGCATTTAAAGCAAAATATGGAGAGTAGCTGTACTGTAAAATGTCCTTTTTTATTCAAGTTGGGTTATCAATCCAATAAATGATTGCAAACATAATTTGTTGTCAAATGTTGAGCATGCACTTCACATGCCCAGGCCAAAGTAAAACTTATTTTACTATTTCATAGTGTTTCGAATTGTGAATCGGCTAAAACACAGAAATAGTTGCTGGATAAGTCAACCCATTAACTCACTCTATTTTCTTTTACGATTTTTTTCGCCTTTTTGGTTTTGAAAAAATTATTAAACTTTCTTTTTTAATTAAAAGAAAGAAATGCTGGTGAAGTAACTGGAATGAGGTTTTATAGTGTTAATCGGCCACATTATGGGTGGTTTATTGTTTGTTCACTCTGTTCTCATAAAACCAGCACAAAATTGTTCTTTTTATTCTCTCCCTCAGTCTTTTCACAGTTGGGTTTATCCAGTAAAATAATACAGCCACGGAGAGATAAAAACGATATATGTTTCACTTTTCAAAAGAGTTTGAATAAACCTGCTTTTCATCCATCTAGAAAATTCCACAAAAAGCATTGTGGGGATACTGTGGGCAGGAATACCGCAAGTCCTCAGGGAACACCAGCGGCGGATATTTCCCGGAATTTGGGGCCTGTACAACCGCAGCAGCAGCAGCAGCAGCAGCAGCTCGTTTTGAGTCTGAATGCGGCTCAGCTTGAGATAACGCAGGTAGCAGAGCTTTTTGTCTCCTTGACTGTTCCTCTCTGGGGGACGGAAAAATGGAAAGAGTAGAGTAAAGGTGGGGCAGGGGGGGACAGCGATATAGTAGAGGGGAATAAGGTGTTTTTTTCAAATGGTGAATAATTAATCTGCCCTGGCATGATGCTGCGCAGGACCGCTTCCTGTGGCTCAGGTTTCACGTGTGAGCGTAAAAACGCAGTGTGGGGGGAGGGTTCACTTCCTGCTCTAACTCCTCATTTTGGGGGCCTTACATCGGTGACAAACTTTGAAAGAAGCTGAAGTGAAAGCAGAACCTAAGAACATTCGCAAGTAAATCGAGTAATTCTGGCTTTAGGGATTTGTGTATTGAAGTAATGAGTTTTAAAAACGCACAGAGCAGTTGCGGATTTGGGGGGGGGGGGGGGGGGGGGGGGGGTGAGAATCCAGACACCTTTCATTATGAAGAGTCGTGAAGGTTTTATTAGCACCATGCGGGCATTTTATTCACTGTGGGCAATGCAACCTATATTATTTCAGTGCAAAACCTTTCTTTGCACATTTCTACCTTAATGCAGGTGCTGATCACGCGTGTGGCCTCAGGAAGTGGTTTCGCTGCCGGTTCCAACCCAAATAA